CACAATCCTACGGGTGGACATTTGGTAATCTCCAAAACTACCGAGAAAATAAGAGAAAGGTTCTACTGGGCATCTTACAAAAACGATGTTGAGAAGCATATCAGAGGATGTACCGTTTGTGAAGCAAGGAAGAATACAGCAAGTGCAGCCAGAGGAAAACTGGGTCAGTATTTAGTTAGGAAACCACTGGAACGAGTGGCCATTGACATCCTTGGTCCTTTACCACGGACCAAGAAGGGTAACAAGTATGTTGTTATCATTTCGGATTATTTCACCAGATGGATAAAAACTTATCCGGTCAAAAACCAAGAGGCAATAACCATTGCAAAGGTTTTTGTAGGTGAATTTATTTCAAGGTATGGAGTCGCACTCCAGGTTCATACTGGCCAAAGCAAACAGTTTGAGTCGAAGTTGTTTCAAGACTTGTGTAAGATGTTACAAATAAAGAAAAGAAGAAAAACCCCATTCAATCTGAAGAGTGATGACCTAGTAGAGAGATTCAATCGAACGCTAGAAGATACGATAAGCAAGTATGTACAACCTAACCAAAAGAATTGGGACGAAGTTTTGCCATTTCTGATACTTGCCTACCGATCATCAGTTCATGAGACTACAGGATACAGTCCGGCAAAATTAAATTTTGGTAGAGAGTTAAAGCTACCTGTTGACCTTGTGTATGGGCACAATCCAAGGGAAACTTGTCATGAAAGCTACCACGAGTTCGTTGACGAGATGAAAACCAACTTAGAAGACATCCACGAGAAAGCCAGGAGAAAAATGATACTCGCGAACGAGAACCAGAAACGAAAATATGACACCAAGGCAAACCAGATTCAATACACCCCAGGACAACATGTGTGGATTGCATCAAAATCAAGGACCAAAGGAAGATGTCCCAAACTTCAGGTTCATTGGAATGGACCCTATGTAGTGTTACGTGCTGTGTCCGATTTGATATACAAAGTGAAAAAGTCTAAAGCCGAGAAACCAAAATATGTGCATCATGACCAGATGAAGCTGTTCCGTTGTGAAGCAGATGAGAATCTATCTCTGTAACGTGCATCTCTAAAAAGATATAAAAAAAAAATTCTTGATTGACTAAGCACCCGAAACGAGGACGTTTCGACTTAAGAGGGGGGTATTGTTACGTTCCGATAAGTTTACCTGTGAAATTCGGATTAACCGTTGTTGACAAGTTCCGAATAAACGGACCCTGAACCCGATGTGTATAAACTACTAAAATATTTGTCTATGAACAATGAACGAAAGAATTGAACAATAATTGATTTATTTGAACTTTATCAATTTGATTTATGTATTGTAATGACAAAGCGTGATATTGTATATGTTCTATATAGGTACAACGTTATTTAGTAATTTTAGTGGTCAAAACCCGCTAACTTACAAATTAGATATTGATTGTGACGTTATTGGTATCTGACGTTTATACGTCATCATAACAACTTTTGTCTATAAAAGACAGCTGTTTTGTGTTTAGAAGTCAGTCTGCATTGGGTTGCGACTCCGTATACTTCGGGTGTAAGACAGTGGTATGTACAAACAGTACCAAGTCTATGTATACGAAATCATTAGTGAAGAGTCATTCAGAGTAGAAACGTCCTGGATTGACCATTGGTTCGTCATCTTTGTATTAACCAAATAACGTTGTACCAACCAGGTTTATCATTGTGCTTATAATTGAACCATTTGATCGTCTTAATAAATATCATAAACTTTACAACGTGTTATTCGTCACGGTTCTAGTGCAGATATTATAGTGAACTAAAAATTGGTCATTTCGCCAATTATTCAGTGGACCAAAAATTGGTCATTATTCCGATTGTATATAAACTTTGTGGATAACCATTTCAACCTTGACCAGTTAACAGTAACCAACAGCGGCCCACGATTAACTGATTAAGTAATAACCTTATACCCTCGGTTTCGTTACAATATTCTTTTTTTAAATTTTATTTTGTTTTTGTATGATATATTGGTTATTTAAAACATAAATATTTCATTTACAAACAATAAATAATTAAAAATCATTAGGGTTCTCTAGGGTTCTTTAGAGTTCTCTAGGGTTCTCTGTTTAGTAGTACCCGGTCATAGGTCATTACGTAACCTAATCACACAGCGCAGTAATATTTACATAGAAAGACTTACTCTACTTAGCAATATAGCATATTTTTCATGCATAAAAATGTACATAATACCCAAGTAAAATAATAATCATTTTATTTACAATGTAAACGAGTAATTAATACAGTTCTTGATCGATTTTACATGGAGAATAGAAAACTACGTGTTATAAATTTCATGTCTGAGCTGCATAGTCTCAACGTTTACCTTTATTTTTCTTGTAGACCCCTGAATGCTATATTTTTTTTATTAAACTTTACTCACAATAAATTTGAAAATCTGTTGGAAAATATCAATGTAATGCAATCACGCCACAAACAGATGACAAACACTGCACTTCGGAAGTTCGGTAGGCACACCTCCATCATCGAGATCGTTGTCTTAACAATGTTAGCTGTCGCCTGTGTCTCCGTGTCAACATCATAATAAATATGCCTTATTGAAATCGTAGATTTTATGTTTCTGATCAAATTTTAAACTTGATTCCAAGTTAACTGGTCCGGACAAGTGTCTCCATCCATCCCTTTCCGACCGAAACTTTTTATTATCGAACATCGGACGTGTTTCTTGTGTTTTTTTAAACATCGAATATGGGTTCTCACGAATACAAAAATTCCCAGACACCAATATTCTCACTATAATTGATCACAAGTAGCTTTCACAGAATATTCCCTTCAAAATAGAATCCTTTGCCAGATGAATTTGAAGCGTAACCGCTTTTCAAGCCGATTTACACCTTGCGTAATTTGTCAAAATCTACGACGGACAGTTATTGCAATATTTATATTCGGTTATATTCGATTGTCCGTCTCAAATGTATATATAAGTAATAAATAACAAGTTTAAAAACTTCACTGGGAAATGAAGTGGGTCGGTACGCGATCAAATCTTCTGAGAAGGCCTTTGATCACGTGACCGACCCACTTCATTTCCCAGAGAAGTTTTTAAACTTGTTATTTATTTCTTAAATAAATCATAATAAGAAACACCGACAAGAAAGAAATAGATTTTTTTTAAATATTAAGTTATCGGTGTATTGAAAAACACAACGTACAAAGATATATATGACACCCTTAACGTGCAAACCGGGGTTAGGGGTGGGTTTAACAAATTTACTGAATATTTAATTATCCATCTATGGTTTTGATCTACCAACGAATTTAGATTTTCTTGAAAGAAACGAAATCATTTTTAATAAAGATAGTTTTGAGCGAACAATGAGCGAAAAGTTAGGTTTTCTTAAATAGAAAAAAAGAAATCATTTTAATATAATAGATTCCAGCAACCTGTGTAATACGTGCTCCAGCATCATCGGATACTCAAGGAGGATCTCGTCTTTTACTCATCAATTCAAATTCAACATGAAACATGCCCATGTCAAGTTTGTGCCATCCAGTAGACAACAGATATTTTCTGACAAGTATTCATAATTATCTGACAAGTTGACTTAACGTTCACCATTAAGTCGACATAATTATCTGACAAGTCGACATAACATCTGACAAGTCGACATAACTTTCTGACAAGTCAAAAATAACATCTAATAAGTCGACATCATTATCCAGCAAGTCGACAATATCTGATAAGTAGACTTTATATACATGTTTTTATGTCGAATTGTCAAATAGTTATGTCAACTTGTCAGGTAACTATGTTGACTTGTCAGAAGATTAAGTCGATTTGTCCGAAAATTGTCTACTTGTCAGAAAATTATGTCGATTTTTCAGATGTTTACTTGTTGGACAGGTACATGTATGTCGACTTGTCAGATATTATAGTGACAAGTAAATGTCAGTAGCATTAACAAGACACTGAGTTCCTAGTCATGATGATTATTATCTGACAAGTCCATTTGTTTGAACAATGATTTTCAGAATACTAATCCTCTTACTTTTTTGACCTTCTGCGCTTTGAATGTACTTTTGTATCAGTGGATCGACTGAATGATAATTTCATGAACAATTTATCTTATTAGAGAATATGGAAGCCTATGTAGGGCTAATTAAAAAATATTTTTGATTTCGATATGGCGAATTCTCGAATTTGTTAAAAAAGAATTCAATTCGTTATAGCAATATTTTACATTCGTTAGAAATAATTTAATATATGTAATAACAGATTTGTTGAATTAAGCTATACTAGTATGAGGAATTCTTGAATGTTGAATGTGCTATAACTTAATTATTAAATTGTTTAATCGAGTAATTGAATTTGTTATTACGAATTAAATTCGTTTAAATAAAGTCTAAAATTTGTTTAACGAATTAAATTCGTTTAAACAATTTTTTCGTTATATTGAATTAAAAATATTTGCAATTGCTGTAAAATGGGCTTCGGTAAAAATTCGATACAGCGAATAGTCAAATTCGATACAAAGAGTTGTCGAATTCGATACGAGTTTTCGAATTCGATACAATAGAATGTCAGATTCGTTTCAATGAATTTCGTTATACAAATTCAGGAATTCATTTCAACGAATTTCATTCGTCATAGCAAATTCTGAGTCCATTATATCAAATTCAAAAAATGAAATGAAATTAAAACTTAAAAACAAATTCGACAATTCGTTATATCGAATTCAAAAAATAATATTTCATAGGTCCTAAATGAGATTCCGTAGAAGAGGGAAATTTTTTATCATTTCAAGACACAGCTCCTTCATCCAATTTTTTCCTGGCTGCTTTGAAAAAAAACTGTGTATTGATTGGGACTAGATAAAGTTTATATATTGTATCTATATATCAAAAGCTATTACATGTATGATGGAAACTTGTGCACATTTACCAGATTAAACAAAACTCAAAAATAGATATTCGAATAATTTTTAACTAATTTAAAGTAAATTATACATCATTTGTAAAACGTCAAATTCAACATTTTTTCTACAATAATTTAGCATATACATGTATATATCCATAAGAAATTGAATTATTTCAGTCTGAAGAACTTTAAAATACGTCTTCCAAGGCTTCTTCTTTTTGTAGGCAATAACTTCTGAAACGAAAAAATAAAATGTCCCTAAAGAATAAAACATCTTAAACATTGCTCTAAAAAAACTTTATACAAATTTTCACATAATTCAACTAAGTCAATATGAACAATACATAGTACCTTTTCTATCACAGGTTCTGTCACATAGTTATCCTCAGATGCACGTGGAGGAACGTCCAAAACAGACACGGTTTCTTTTGGCATGGAACTCTAAAAGAAAAACAGAATGCAGTCGTTTTGATTTTCAAAGTTCATAAGCCATATAAAGTTTGTGATTTGCGTACATGACTCCTTCATTTCTACAGATGTACAAAACTGGACTGAAATTTACCTTTGAGCCGTCCTTGAAAAAATCCATATTAAATAAGAACAACTTTCGAGGAACAAAAGGGTCGTTGAAATCGTCGTCATCAACTTCAATTTTTCTTCCCAAATTCTATTTATGAAAAATTGTAAAGAAAAAAAAAGTATATTAGAAAAGTTATTGCATGATCTCTGAAAATGATTTCATTTTAAACAATAAATTACAACTCACTTGAGACTGGACCTGTATTCCATGTTGGACGTGTTCTACTTTCAATTCGACAGGATCCTCCTACATTCAAATGAAGGATTTTCTCAATTGAAAAGAAAGAAAAGCAAGTAAATAAGATTCGTTAAATTTTACCATAGCTAATGTCAAACTTACTCCTGAAGTTATTTCTTTAAGATTCCTTTTCTTCACCATCCCGATCACTTTTTTGATAAAGCCCTGAAGGAAAAAAAATCAAACGCTAGAAATTAGAAAAATACACACGTACGGCCAGACTTTATAATTTTCTTAATATATTCCTTGAGAAAATAATATCTTATGTAATTTTTTTTTATGTTTTCTTCTCTTTATTTCTTTAATGTTATACTAATATTAATATTGTTTTTTTTTAAATATATGATATGTCTAGATCTGCCAGCCAGACTTAGCCAATATTCATTAAGTGGGCATTGTGACTTATATTCGCCTACCTTAAAGACGCCGTCTTTTCGTTTCCTTGCCATCGTCTAAAAATGAATTTAAAGTAGAATGAAATAAATGTCTATAGGAATAAACTGGTCAAACAACAACGTTAATGTGTACTCCGACATTACCTACCATAAGCTCTTTGTGGATCGCTCCCATCATCTCCCGCTTTCTTGTTTTGTCAGATTTGATTCTGAGCATTGCACTGGGCTTTTTAGCTACTGCGCCCTTAAAAAAAGTGTTATATGCATTTCTTTCATTTGAAATTTGTGTATATATATTCATTATAATCGTAAATAATTTAGTCAATTTCGGTTAATCTCGGAAAAAGTTCAGGCAATCACTTCATTGTCTTTATCTGGGTTCAGTCGGAAAAGATTGGGGGGGGGGGGGGGAGGGGGTGAATGAAGAAAATGTTTTCAGTTCTTGCAATAAACAACCCACTATATGATTTCAATTTAGACTGAGAAGATTCTTGATTACGGAAAAAAATCGGAGAATGAAGAGAAACGAATAACTAATATTTTAGATCAACCACTGCATTAGAAAACTTGCAATCTGATTAAAATCAGATTCTCGATCCGCTCCTCCTTTTTTTAAAAAAAAAATTCTCGCTACACGAGATGTTTGTGGCGTAGTACGTACATGTAGTAAACGGAGTCAAGCAAACAGCTGATTTTAATCAGAATGGAAAAATTGAATATCTTAAACTATTCCCTTTTACTTACAATCATTGCCTTGTGATCTCTGCTCATGTTGCCTCGCACAGCTCCCATTCTCTTTGTTTCCTCTAAGTTAACAGTCTTGAAAAAAGCAAGATAAAAATACCTCATGATTTATTTATCTTGTATTTATTTTAATATTTTTCATCTCTAACAAATGAAAAACAAGATTTCTTATTTTGTATAAATTCCAAGATTTTTAGTTTCAATTCCAGAGAAGAGTTTACGAGTACAATTATCAAAGTTTAAAAAAAAAGTAAAGTGATTAACATTATATTTCAAAATACAAGTAACCAAGGTGATTAAAAACTGATTAAAAATATTGTGGTTAACCTGATAAGAACATTTTTATATTTCATATCACAGTAAATGATTAGTATTTATTATCTACCTTCTGTCTCTCCAGCTGCTCAGCCTCATTTGACCAGCTATAGCTGAATTTCAATATCTCCAGTTTTGTTTCCTAAAATTCAAAGTCAAACAATACCATATCATATATAACATACATTTACAAAAAGCAATTATAGTGATGTGGACAAGAACAGGTTTCCTTAACAAGTCTAAAATGTACTTGAAAAACAATTTATACACTTACCCCCTTGTCATTAAAATCTAATACTTTATTGTAATCCATCACTGGTAATTCTACAAAGTAAACAGTAAAATGTCAGTACTATAAATGTCTAACATTCATAAAGAAAACTGTAAATTAAAAATTCAATACCTTAACCGTTTTTAATTCACAGACTGACCTGCTTTCTGCAACCTTACATGTGGGATAGTTCCTTTTGTTTATAGTGATGATTGTGACGTTCTAGAGATATGATTGTGATGTCATCGTAACTGTCACGTCACGCCAAGAGAGTTTGTTTCTGATTTGAAAGTCATCTATCAAAATGTTTTAATACTGTTTCATCAAGTTTATATAACATTTCTAAAAATAACAAATGTTTCAAGAAATGCATGTCATGTTGCAGTTTGAATTCATTTTTGCCTTCGTACATACATGTACTTCGTATATATAAAGCTGGACCTCTTCATAACACAAGGTCATCGATCCTTAGTGCAAGAGGCTTTGAGCCTTTGATGCTCAGATTATAATTATGACTGAAAAATTACCTCACCCATATATCCGCCGGGCGAACATGATGCCATCTACTTTATGTAAAAAAAAATAGTAAAAACTCATTCCAGTTTTTCAAAATGTCCCTTTGTTGTCATGCAGACATTGATATATTTTTGTGTAAATTTTTGACCCCTTCTATGGTCACATTATAGCCCCGAGGGCCAGGATTTGAACAAATTCGTTTAAATTTACTGACAAACAACGACAAAACTATCATTTTAATTTTAAGTTTTAAATTTTTTAGGTGGAGGTTAATTGAAAAACTTACATGATGTGGTGTATTTACCTACGTATAAGTTTGTAAAGATCGTAAATTTCATCGCCACTTTTTTTTTCCGAACATGTTTTACTGTTAGTTTAGTTTCAAAAGTTTTGTTTAAAGACCGCCTCCCTCTTTTAGTAGTATAGTCAAATCCGTCCTTGCAAATGTAAATGTATTCCAAAAAGTCTTCTTACATGTAATAAGAGATAGGAATCTTAAGCTTGGAGACACCCCCCCCCCCCTTGTTTTTTTGTATTTCGATAGACTCGATTTTAGCAAGAGTTATTTCCCGTTGGTCGCCATATTGGGGGTCAACAAGCCAAAATTCCTTCATTATTTAATCAATTTAAACTTGTCATACTGGGCAATTCGGTAGAATAACCGTTTTCTTCTTTACGAATATATGTTAACACAAGGTTCCTTTAATTCATAATACTAGTACTTCGAAGATTTTTGCCCTCATATTTCTGCCATACAAGTTTCAAATTCGTTGCTCAAAAGAGGAAAATTCGCTAGTTTGACCTCCTAGATGGCGGCCAAGGGAAATATAACTCGAAGGGAAAATACGTCATACGAAAACTACCTATTTCAGGTAAGATGTCAACTACATGTATTCTTTCAGGTTGAGTACATGTTGTATATAAAAGTAAAGTTTTTCGGCGTTTTTTAGATAAAGACAGAGGTCACAAAGCGTGGACCATCGTAACGTTTTCTACAATTATTTTTTTCTGGAGACAACATTAGCATTTACAAACAACTTTATATCTGTTACTTATTGCGATATAATCTTTCAAGAATTAGAATAAATTACATGTGTGTTTCGCTTCTCTTTGTCAGTACATGAAGCTGATCGCCCATCATACCACCAACCAATGATTATACATGTACATATTATACGATAGAACTTCATTTCCGGCATTCAATGTGTCATCTGTTAATTGGTTGATTAACGTCCCTTTGAAAGATTATTTCATTCACAATAGATGTAAACGGATGCCGCTGAAGGGCTTTAAATTTTATGCTTTACTTAGCAATTAGGAACATTGTTCACCAAATTAACGTTTGCTGTGACATGTGGCCTATGATTTTAAAGAGGCCTGGACACGTACAGTTGCACTGTTTACAATCATATATTTTTATTCAAAAAAGCCTCAGTTTAATGATTTGAACTAACATGAATATTCTAAGAATTCAATGACAACAACATTTTTCATAACATCACGTCAAATACTTCTGTTTGTAAACAGGACACAAGCTCTGTTATTTTTACCGGGTGTGTTATTTGTTTAGTCTGCACACATCACTGAGCACGGACTGACAATACTGGTAAGTTAAATTGGTTTTGCTCTCTCGCACTTCCACTCTGAACTTTCTGGATTATAGTTTTCATAATTTTCTTAAGTATTAAGGATAAGGCCATCTTAAAAAAAAAATGTTTGTTTGCCCTCTCCTGACTCAGTCTAAAAAGAATTGGGTCGGTAGGTAGATGGGAAATTCTTTTTTCCCGAAAATTTAAAAAAAAATACTTGTTGACAGGATGATAAAATTCAGAGGAAAAGGGAAAAAAAAACATGTCCTGGAGTTTTAAAATTTTTAAAGGGAGCATACATCTTCGCTAGCCAAGGGTTTCTGATACGCTACTCTCCTCATAGGAGAGTAGCGTATCAGAAACCCTTGGCTAGCGAAGATGAGGGAGCATAATGAAAACGTAAAATATTCTAAATGGAACAATATAAATTATACTGTAACTGTAAAATCCTTGCTAAATTTTAGAAAAAAGAATAAGCCTTCTGGTATTTTAAATGTACAAGATACTTAAAGATAAAAAGTTTCCGATTTTTATCGCAAAAAATGAAGATATTATCATAGAAACAATTTTTACAATTATCAAGTAGTTTGTTATCCTCTGGTACAAATCCACCATAAAAGGTCTTCTAAAAATGGGTCTGCTAATGGCTCCGTTTCTTGGTAAAAATACGTAATACTATTTCCCTTTTTTTTTTAAATACAATTTGCAAATAAATAAACCAAAATCACGACATATGTAATGAGCAAAAACAGAAACGAGAAAAAGTTATTTTTTTCCTCAAATAAATGTATTTATTTATTAAGAAAATTCAAATAAATTCGCATTGTATTGAATAGAGCGGCGGACATGTACATACATGTACTTATAGAAAACGATCGACCAGAATTATTGTTTTACCGCAATGCCTGACGGAGCCAAAGTATCGGTTTTCGGATTTCACTCCGTTTTAGGGGTTCGTCTAGACTAATCACGGAGCGATCACTCTACTTATTATGACTGAACTGCAATCATGGGGGATGAGGGTTATCTTTCTTTTCATGCCAGTTTTCCACACCGTACTTCATATTCACACCTCTGCGTGATATGTTGCTAATGGAGGATGTTGTTAATTGTTTGATTGTGATCGGCTGTGACTAATGTCAACTCCAGCAAATCAATCTTACATTCACCTCTGTTGTTGGGTCGCGCTTGTTTCAATTCATTATAACTGAATGACTGTGCTAATGTTTGTCCTTAAAGGTATATATTTACTAATTAATATAGATCGAGATCTATTTTGTTAAATTTCACATAACCCTTGGATTATTATCATGTTTTTACTTACGTAAAAAATCTTGACGGGAGCCCATTGCAGGACGTCTGAGAGGGGAGCATAAGCATAGCATCATACGGGAGAGAATTCGTATATTTGTAATTAACTATGTACATGTATTTTGAATTGAAAATCTCATAATTAAGGAAAAAATGGCGATTCTTCATCTTAACTGGGACTCCCCTAAAGAAAAGTTTAAATGTGAAAATTACAAGTAATATATTATGTAACTGTGGATTTATTGATGAAGAATACCTTAATGAATTAGATATGTAAATCATTATCAAATGAATAAAATAAATATACATTGAAATTCTGTGACTTACTGCATGACATCTATTAATAGTTGTGTGTAAAAAAAAAAAAAAAAAAAAAAAAAAAAAAAAACTTTGGAATGAAGTACATTTTGCCTACACACAACTTGGCTTTTCCCATGGCTATTTCAATTTATTTTTTTTTATTTATTTATTTATTTTATTTATTTATTTA